TGTTTTACAACAAACGTGATTTTTATTTCTTTTAAACGAAAGATTTATTTCCTCATATAGTACAAAAGAGAGTAGCAAATATTGCGTGTGTAAATGTTGTAGAAAAAGATATTTTCACAATGACACTTAGGACAATACTTATAATCAAATGCCACAGTGCCACATAAATTAGGAAGAGCGACACAATTGCTCTTCATCAGCCAAATTATGAAAATAGATGAATAAAATTTACTTTACAGTATTCTCATAATGATAACACAAAAATGATAATTTTCAGTTGTGCCACTTTCAACGTGAATGTAAAATATCTGCATGGAAATGTTAACAGGCAAACGTATAAAGGGTGAATATCATAAATATCAAACAGAAGCAGTCTAGGAATAAAATTCCAAGGTATCCCATATATTACTGTCCATGCAAAGAAGGACTGTGACTTTGGAAACATTTGTTACAGTTTGCTCTACATGACAAGGGAAATAAAAGTACAGATGAAAGAAAACCTGGTGACAGTTCTTTTATATATAGATTCTCTTTATGATCCAGGCAAGTTCGTAATAGAATTTTATTTTAATAATTCTTAAATGTGACGACGCTTTTAATTACATCTTAATGATAAAAACATTTATAAATGTAAATTTACGTCGTAGAAAATACGAAATATTAAAAGAAACGAACCTGATTTGACAAATTTTTCGCGAAGACAATGGACATATTTATTATTACATAAGGACACATTTATATCTGTTTCTTTAAGTTTATTTTCTCTTTCTTTTTTTTAGTAGCTGATAACTAGCCAAAACTTTAACAATCTTTTCAATTACAAAAGATATACTTGCAAATACTGGATCTGTAATCAAGATACACAATGACGAACGAGGTGGTCTTCAAACGTTCGGGATTGAATCGTGAACGATCCGCTTACCTGTGAAAGAGACATCGATGCATCCTTGCCTCGTGTACTAAACGCTTCGCGTTAATGCTCCACTTAACTCTAAAACGGGCGTAAGACACTATCGCACTGTCTCAAGCACTCTTCATTCATACTAGAAATTCTATAGTCTACTGTATACGTGGATACACCCACAATGTATTCTGCAACAGTTTCAAAGGAAACGTAGTTGCTTTCTGTGTAATACTGTATTCTGCTAATTGTAACATATTACGCAGTACTTATCTCGGTACAATGCAATTAAGATATACGTTTAACGTACATGTTTACAGCACAGCATTCAAACATATACCTGAATCCATCGAATATTTTTACAAATATCTAAATACATAAAATTCAACTGCATTGAGACGATTGGAGATGAATTATTTTTTTTTTTTTTTTGAACAAACTCATGGACAAGAGAAAAACTTTACTAATGAATTTAAAATTCGATCGACATATTGATGAGATTTTGTTAAAACGAAGGAGATTATGTATTAGAAAATTTGATTCATTTAGCTTGCGGATTCGCATCTCCTCCGGCAGAATACATATAAGGACATTGGAGAATCGCATCTGCCGTTCGCTAACTAGTCGACAGCTGTGCCGAATTCGAGTAGTTATCCAACACTGAAGTGATTTAAACTGGTTATTCTCGGACGGGACAGTCTTCTACACGTTTAGTACTCAGAATGAGGCACAGATTTGAGTAGTTATCGAAGTTAGCGACACGATTCTCTATATGTGACGAGTGAGAAGCGATTCGGAGAATCCATGTAACGTGCGGAGGTTTAACCGCATGTGGCAGGAATGGGTATTGTACCTGTCAAAGCTTTAAAAGTATTAAATTTTAATTCTTGTTAGACTTTAGTTAAATTCAGACACTTGTTATTCTTCAAAGTTTGAAAACTTTTACTTATAATTTTACAACACTAAATGCTATTTATTTCCTCTCTCTGGAATCTCTCAGATAATAGTTTAAATTAATAGTAATAGTTAGTATTCGTTAATAGTAATTAATAGTAAAAAAAAAATGAGTTATTAACATTGATTAGGTAAATGAATATGAATCAAGTTATATCGTGTTTGATCTCGTTTTAATCAGAGAAAAATTTCATCCATAATGTCGATGAAATTCAAACAGCGAATACAAAGAAGTCTCTTTCATTGTATTGCTGTTGCCATACCGATCTGTAAGTTTTTAATCTCTTTCAACTGCCTCGACCCTCAATCCTTTTCTTTCTTTCGCTCGGTGAACTCCGTGTCTGTTGCTGTCGGGAAAATACAAAGAACTTGAAGAATCGTGCCTACTATTCGCTAACTACCCTACAACGGACCCGACCCTCGAGCTCGACTCCATAAAGACTTTGCTGTATACATAATTTACAGTCAAGCATAGGCACTCGTTTGCACGAGGATTAGGATTTTTGGAAGTTTGGAAAAAAATTTGTCGACGTAAAGAGATCATATGATGAACAGTAAATATCTTATAATGACAATAAATATTTTATATTACAGGACCAACTGTAACAGCAAAGGCAGTTCTTCAAGGTACAGCAGAATTACCATGTGACATCCGTCCACCACGACAAAATGACTCTGCAATTCTAGTTGTTTGGTACAAAAGCGATATCACACCTATTTACAGGTAAGCAGCAAACTTTGATGTAAAAAAAATTTGCACTTTGTATTACATTTTAATCAACATTCTTTGACGCGTTGTGAAGTTGTACAATACAGTTGTACAGTTCTCAAAATTATCATCAGTATACAGTTACAAATAATTGTTTCAGTTACGACATGAGAGGGAAACATTCTGAGAAAGCTTCCCATTGGAATGACAAGGACCATTTGAATGACCGGGCATTCTTCAGGATAGTTACTGAACCAGCAACACTAAACATCAATCACATCGAAGAAAGAGATGAAGGCGAATACAGGTGTCGAGTAGATTTTGCCAAAAGTCCTACTAGAAATTCCAGAATTCATCTGATAGTCATAGGTTTGTATGGATATGGTTTATATATGGATCTCTGTATCTGGGCATTGAATTCATTGAATTTTATCCTCACACGATAGTGGTATAAATTATGAACCATATGAAAGCCACGGACTTATCCAATTATGATTGTTATTATTATGTCGTCTGCGTTGTCCCTATTATTATCTCTATATATCATAGATTTATTAAAAAGGAGATTCAGGGATACATTACTCGTGTACTGCCTTTCTAATGTTTACTAAAACTTTTTATGAGCTTACGAAATAATCCGTGTGTGTGTAATGAGTTTTAGAATATTCTGTGAAACCTTTCTCCGCTTCAACTCGTTAAATATAGATTTTCGCCTAAAGCTATTAAAGGAGTTTTTTACGTCTATAGGGATGACTACTCGTTCCTTTCTCTTTAATGGCATTTCAGAATATTTCCTTCAAATTTGTCAATAAATGATATGTTACAGTACCACCGCACAAACCAAATATTATCGATGAACATGGAACAACTGTGACAGCGGTAGCAGGTCCATACGAAGAAGGTGGTGATATGAAATTGCAGTGTCTTGTTTCTGGAGGTGAGTTTTCTTTGCATTAAGAATAAAAAAGTGATGCTAGCACATTTAATAATAATTTCACTACGATTTTACCAACTCGTTACTAACAACTCTTATGTTACTTTTCAGGTCGACCGGAGCCGAAACTAAGATGGTGGCGTGGAGAGATGCTTCTAGATTCAAAAGACGAAGCAGGAGAATTTCCATCTCTTCGTAGAAATACTTTAATAGTGAGAGAACTTTCAAGAGCTGATCTTCATGCAGTGTTTACTTGTCAAGCATCTAACAACAACATTAGTCAACCTGTGTCTGCGTTGGTTGCAATTGAAATGCATTGTGAGTTCTGTACATAATATTTCATTCAAGCACCCCTATTCAATTGAAAGATCTAATAAAATAAAATGTTTCATGAAAATTGGCTTTTCAGGCCTTGTTAATCTACATGTAATATACACTAAACCTATGTATATTTTTCAGTGAAGCCATTATCTGTAACAATATTAAGTAGTGAGCATGCACCCCTTAGTGCCGGGCGAAAATATGACATAAATTGTATGACTGTTGGATCAAGGCCACCAGCTAAGTTATCTTGGTACATGGATGGAAGAAAACTGAATAATTACACGGAGAAGGTATTTCACTTCTTCTCATTTACTTTATAAAAATCTTCTCTGACGCGTGATTTATAATTACAATTTGCATCACGCGTTTATGCGTTTTTTAAAATGATTCAACGAATTTATATTTATCTTCACACGTTAAAGGTATCTGAAGATGGTAATATGACGAGTTCGACGTTAATACTGAAACCAACATTACTTGATCATGATAAAGTGGTCATCTGCCGAGCAGAAAATTTCAAAGTTCAACGAGGTATAGTCGAAGACACGTGGAAGTTAAACGTGTTTTGTAAGTATAACATCCTTTTATATAGTCATCAGGAATACGCACAACTTTTTACAAATGTTACAATATGATATTTCTTTGACATTACATATATGAATTACATATAATCTGGATGAACATGAAACAAGTTTCAGAGCAGTTGGGCAAAGATCGTGAAAGTCTCTTTAAATAATCCTTGATTGAATGAATAACTAGGCGATAAAAATTACGAAATGCTGTATCAGATTATGTATAAGTAATTCATGTTTATTATAATATTTTTAACGCACTTTCTTGTTTTATCTTTCAGTTGTTCCAATTTTACATCTGGAGTTAGGATCGAATATGAATCCAGACGATATTGAGGAAGGTGATGACGTATATTTTGAATGCAAAGTTCATGCTAATCCTGGCGCTTACAAAGTTATATGGAAGCATAATGTAAGTTTTAGTTGAATATATGTACAATCATTTTCTAATTAAAAACAAAAGCTTGAAGCCAAGATTAAATATGATTATGTAAACCTGTATAACGAGGATTGAAGTACAACAACATGATCTATTTCAAACTATTCAGTAAGTGTGATATTTGATTTATAAAGTCAATGTATCACGGATCAAAAGCAATAGCATGTAGTGTGCGTTATGAAAAGAATGAAAATATACAGAAAACATGTAACATGTGCTTTTTCGAGTGTCCGTGCATTTATTCTTTATTTCACTCATATGCTCTGTATTTCTTTTACTCATTTCTAGAATACTCATCCTCATTTATATTATTTGGAGTCAATTTTACCTTTTACATTCTTCCATTTATTTTCTCATTATGAGTTACATGTTAATATGACGTTGCTAAAAGCCTTCCGAAAACTTCACGTCCATTCACCTCCTTGAAGAAAAAACGCGTTGAATGGAATGCATGAAAATGGAAGAAGAGGCGTACTTAATATCATTAAATTTCTTCTCAGAAGCTACGTTACTTTACTGCTAGCACGTTTCACTAAATAATAGAACAACAATTACAATTTTAGTCGAAATGAACTCATTGTCGTAATTGTTCTCTAGTACAAAATAGCCTCCTTTTCTGACAATTTCATACAATGAAATAAAACGAAATGAGAAACTTGTATAGCATAGATATCAGAAGGAATGTTTCGCAAATTTAATTGATTAATGTACAAATACGCTGTTACAGGGAAATATTATTCAGAACAATGCAAAAAACGGTGTAATTGTGCAACAATATGGCTTGGCTTTGAGGGAGGTTAATCGTTCTCAAGCAGGCAATTACACTTGTATTGCCAGCAACGTCGAAGGAGATGGCTATAGCAATACTGTCGAGCTCAAAATTATGTGTAAGTTCATTTACAAAAAGTATAATGTGTAATTAATTATATGTATTTACAAAGCTATTTATTGATCAAAAATCAACGTTCATCAGATTTATAACTAGCTATTCTTGAGCTCGAGATTTCAATGCGTTTTACAACGATGTTGCGCATTCACGACGTATGAAGCAGATTATCGTTTTCCCTAAGTGATTCAGCCAGCATCATGTTTGTCTGTTTTAGATAAACCTATTTGTGTACCGGAACAAAAACGAATTTACGGTGTAGCCCGTCACGAGGATGCTCGAATAGTTTGCAGCGTCGAGGCATACCCATCTCCGGATAGTTTCCGTTGGACATTTAACAATACAGAAGAAATGGTTGATGTACCTCAGGCGCGGTACAAGAACTCTACACGCCACAGTCAAAGTATTCTTATTTATCGGCCAATTACTGAAATGGACTACGGCACGGTGTTCTGTTGGGCAAGTAATACCGCTGGTCAACAAAAGAACGCCTGCATATTTCATATCATTCCAGCAGGTATGTTTACACGTTGTAGTGAATTATCATAAAATAACTATCAAAAGAAATTATAGGATGCCTGAATAGAACAGATTAAAAAAAAACTATAGGATATCCAATCGTCACAATTAAAAGTTCTGCTCAAGTGAAATGTAAAATATACCGACGTATGGAGGTGCATTTCTCATTTTCACATTTTCGATAATAATCGAGGAAATATGGATTCCAGACGAATGAAAATAATAGGCAAATACAAGAACATACTTTGAACATTAAATTAGTTATATCTGCTCCATTACCAATAGTAAATCTAAATGCCTTATTTGCCTTTTATACATTTTATACAATTCCTCTCTCAATCCCCTTCTCATCAAAAGAGATGTAAATATGAGTTATGTTCTAACTCACTTAATACAGCCCTAATTTCAGCCTAAAAGCTGCATTAGTCATCAGTACATGTAGACGATTTTCATTTCAATTTCTGAAATGACACAGGTAGTAGTAGATATGTAATAGCTTCGTTAATTCATTCTTTCCTCGAAGATTTTTTTTTTTTTCTCTTTCCTTTATACATGTATTCCGGATAATTTATCATTCAATGACTATAGAATTTTAATCAGTTCCTGAACACAGCGTGTTCTATATCCCTGTCTTGAATGTACGTAGATGTTTAGGTGTTTAGTCGACTGTGTTCCTACTCATGAATTGCATAGATATGGCTACTATTGTTAGTGTGTAACTGCTAATGTCAGTATGATGAATGAATACTCCGATATCAGATTCTAATTGCTCCGTATGTGAATAAGGTCAGGTGTACCTTTTGTAACGAAGGAATCAAGTAAATCAGTTAGTTTGACGTTATCTGTAGATTAGCGCTAATCCGTAGTAATGAATGCGTTTGCTAATATAATTTCTTATAATTACTACGAAATTATTTCTGTATTTGTTCCTCATTTAAACATTTCTATCGAATACAGACAGATCTGTTGTAATCTTGCTTAGCAGTTATTATGTATTTAAATTATTATATATCTTATTACTAGTGCAATTCTTATCTTCAAAATTTCAAGGTTTCAGCTTTACATGTCTCAAGTGACATTATGTTATTCCTTTCTAAAAGTAGCAAAAGGATTTAGCTAAGCGAGTGACGATAATGGTGTGGCATTAAAGTCTTACAAGACAATTGTAAATAAAGATATTTAGTAAAGAATTAAATCGTTTGTAGCTTACAAGCTGCAAACAACATTAGGGAAGGGCGTAAAAGTTAAGAGAATTGCGCTTTGTTCAAGATCAATCATCCTGTGATCTTATCAACAACTGTTGCACATACCAACGCTGTCATGTATTTTTGAACAATGTATTCATTTTCCAAATTCAACGCGAATGGCATATAAATATTTCTCGCAGTTACGTAATATATATGCGCAAAGTTCGTTTCAGTTTATCTTTCACGTGTTTAATAATTCTCTGCCGTATTGTTGAAGAAGAAAAAAAAAAAGGAAAAGAAAAAAGAAATGAATACTTATGTATCTTGTCTATGTGCTGTCATCTCACCGTTCCCATTTCACTAATTATTTTGATCATTTAGAAGATAAACTGTCGAGGTCGATTTTGCGACACTATATTGTACTATTGTAGGAGCCGAGGAAAAATGAGGGCTCCGGCAACGGGAATCAAATCGACAACACTTGTATCCTGTGATTGGCCAGCCGCACCTTAATAAACTTTGCCAATGCGCCCTCGCTAATTCCTCGTTGTTATTGCTCCTTTTCACGGGTATGGAGGCCTCGGCCCCACACTGTTACAAGGTAATATTTATATGCCATCCGTTAAATTTAGAAAATTACGAATATATCACTACGATAGCTTGATCTGTGCCACCTTTTTCTTTAATAATATATAGGGACAATGGAATTTAGTTAGGCAGTACATTTGTACAAGCACCAGATATTGTACTTATTGTTAGGGCAAGGGCTAATGCGAATCAGCATTCTGACGTGAATCTTCTGACGATGAGTATATATGTAGCTCACGTCAATCTTTTTACTATTCGCCCACTTTTTATCACATTACTTTCTACTTTTCAACAGAGTTAGAATTGCACTTGTACAGGGTCTGATGCACACTGTTCACTCTCCTTTTCTTCCATTTCTTCCTTTGGATTCCTTTGTCATATCAACAACTTAACAAGTTCAACACGGCGCGCTTTCCCATACTGCTGTGCATGATAGGAGAGCGCAGTTAGTTATAAGATAGCATGGATGTATGAAAATAAGACAGTTTTTTTTTTAAATTGATAGTGGATATTATTATTTAGCCTCCTGCTATATAACTTTATGCTTTATATAAAGTTACGTAAGATTTGTCATTTATTTTAAAAATATAATTGGGAACCTTATTAACACAACGGAAATCGATTGTCATGCACATTTTGTAATACTATGTTTCTAATATTATCACGTTTAAATTATTGTACTACAACAACTACCAGTAATTGCGTATTATTAATCTGATAGAAATCAAACCTCAGATTCTAAAAGAACTTTATCAATACAATCTACTGCAATTAATCTACATTTAATCCTTTTACCAAAAAAAAAAAAAAAAAAAAAAAA